ACTTTATATCTCTACCGAAGAGAGGTTTGATTTTCCTCACATTTTATTCACTCACTTGGTCATAAGTCAAAAACATTGATTTTGATATTTCAAAAGATCAGGCACACTGACCGTCACATGTAGTTGAAAGAAAAGGGTCTTTATACACGAAAAGGATAGACGGTTCCCTTTACTGTTATTTCCTTAATTCTTGTTGTATTACACAGTATTTTAGTAATTTTGATATCAGCTTTGAATTTCATATTGGATGATATGTGGAATTTGCTTCGAAATAACGGGAACTGGGCGTTATTCACCTCATTGGACGCTGATGAAGCAATCACCTGTCATTTATAAATTTTATTAAAACCTCTAGGAAACAGGCAGGCAGACAGGAAGGAAAGCAGACAGGCAGATAGATAAATAGATAGACGGACAGACAGACAGACATATGTAGAAGGACAAATTTATATATCTTCCTTTTTTTTACAAGTTTGTTCTCACAACCGTATTTACCCCGTTATCTTTGGCCCAACTGCACAGCTACTTATCGCTAAAATCACATAAAGCTTTCAAAACAAAACTGCTCTCGTATCTCCCTTTTCACATGCCTTTGCGAAACCGCGAGAGAGAAACCGGGCGACGGGGCTGGGGGGCGTCGGGGGCCTTATCTCCGGCGGGCGCACGACGGACGGCCGCTTATCAGGCCTCTAAACCCGCGACACCGGCTTCTTGGGCGCGCGACCCGTGGGAGGCGCGGCACTTGGCGCTCGCCGGGAGGCCTCTGCTGCTCCTTCGCTTTTCCCTTTCACAGCTGGAGGTTGTGGGCATCTCTCATTCTCTCTCTCTCTCTCTCTCTCTCTCTCTCTCTCACACACACACACACACACACACACACACACACACACACACACACACACACACACACACACACACACACACACATATATATATATATATATATATATATATATATATATATATATATATATATATATATATGAACATATATAGATATATAAATATAGATATAATAAATATGTATATATACAGTTTTACATGAAATTCCCTTTTTGAGACAAGAATCCCCGCCTCCCAATGAAATCCGCGGACGCCCCCCCCCGGCGCACCGCAGTCGCAGCCGGGGTGAAATAACCTCGTCCTTCGCCGCAGATCAACTGGGAGGCGGAGGAGGTGCTGGAGGGCGACTGGATCGGCGTGTTTGAGCGGAACCCGAAGGAGCCTCCTGCCGGGTCGGCCGAGTCCTCAGCTCCCGACGATGGGCCTCCGGGCAGGGGCGCCGCGATCCTGTGGGAGATGCCGCGGCCGCTCTTCTGGGAGACGCCCTTCTCCACGAGGGGAGGGGTGACCACCAACGTCTCGGAAACGCGGCCCGAGGTGGGTGAGGTTGGTGTGTCGTGTGTGTGTGTGTGTGTGTGTGTGTGTGTGTGTGTGTGTGTGTGTGTGTGTGTGTGTGTGTGTGTGTGTGTGTGTGTGTGTGTGTGTGTGTGTGTGTGTGTGTGATTATAACATATAGGTGATGCATTTTTTTCTGTAGATATATTTTAAGGTTTTATTTAAAGGATTGTAAAATCATATACACAGTACTTGCTGAATGTAACTGAAATTTCACAAAATTCAAGGTGGTCAAATGTGATTTCTTTGATATCATCCCATTATTTTCACCTTCGTCTAAACGTAAAGTGACGTGACATCCTGACCCTGCCTGACGTCCCCTTTCCCCCACGCACCCACAGCTGGCCGCGTTGGCTATGGGCGGCTGTGTCGGCCACTGGGTGGGATACGTGCGCAATGGGCTGTGTGTGGCCGCCCAGTGCCTCGCCGCGCACCCGCAGTGGCTTTGGGATAACAAGTAGGTCTGAGCAAGGGCGGGCAGGGAGAGCGAGTCGGAGGAGAGGACCGTGTGATAAAAAAAATAATGTTTTCTTTCTATCTTCTGATTTTTGCATTTTGGTTCAAGACTAATTTGTTTCTGAAATATATTGAACTTTTCAAAATTGATCCTATACAGACTGTTCTGAATAAATGCACCATCGATGTATGTGCGTCGAGAGAGACACCTTATACACGTCTGCTCCTAATGTTCACCGTCTCTCTTCTCCAACTGATTGACGTCTTGCTTGCCCTTCCCCAGAGACGTGTTAGGATCCCGTTCCCTGAGGTCCCTCATGCTCCCAGGGACTCACAACGCCGGCTCCTACTCCGTCAAGGACACCGACGACGTAGTGACAGCCTGGGTGGTGTGTCAGGACGAGGACATCATCAGCCAGCTCCTCTACGGCATCAGGTGTGTTGGGATTCTGTTCAGGGCAGCGGTCTGTGCGTCTCGGGTAAGTTGGTCAGCAGTCCATGTCTTTTGGTTATTGATTAATGTTTCATGCGCCAGGAGAGATTCATTATGCCATTGTGGATGCTGCGCTGGGCTTTTGTTTTCGTTATAGCGCGATTTCCTTTTTTTGGCTTAAATAGTACACTGTATATATAGTACGAAACCAAAACAAAACAAATATATATTCTTGTACCAAAACGAAGTACGGGTACATATTTGACTAGATGTTGTTAGTAATACATGGGTGTTTAGTCCTTCCATTTATTTGTTGTGTTATGATGCAGGTTATTATATTTATCATTAGTCTAATTTAAATTTCATACATTTGTCAGCAGTGTTTATAAACTCTTACCATTTTTTACTGAAAGATCTATGCTTTTATATGCCAAATAATTGCAAGCGACTACACTCTACAGACCTTTTAGTCTTGAATGTTGTTCTTCTAGTTTAATAATTACAATTAATCTAATAATTATAGATTTCATTCTACTATTCTACTGTTAGAGATATTTCCTTTCGACTACAATGAATGGTGGTACTAAAACCGCGTCACCTCTTCTAGGTATCTGGACCTGCGTGTGGGATACTACCCTGACACCCCGGAACTCCTGTGGATCAACCACGACCTGGTCCGGTGGCGCCCCCTGGTGGAGGTGCTCGGACAGATCAACGCGTTCCTGACCATCTCGCATGACCCGGTCCTCATTGACATCCACCGCATGCCCGTGGGGTTTGAGCACCATGAGGCCATCCAGCTCCTCCTGTCTGCCATGAACGAGACTCTTGGAGAACACTTCCTTTCAGAGCGGTATGGGTCGCAGGTGACTCTGGACCAAGTGTGGGCCACGGGGAAGCGGGCCATCTTCGCCTTCGCAGACATCGACGTCTCCGAAGAGGAGGACTGGGTGTGGCCGCCTCTTCCCCAGGCTTGGGCCAATGCTCAGACGCTGGAGGACCTGCGAGGCTACCTTGATACACAGATGGCTCGGCGGGCGGCGTCTCCTAGATTGTGGGCTGCCATGGTGCACCTCACGCCCACCCTCTGGGACCTGCTCCTCCGCTCTCATGTGGGTGTGCGGGGAATGGCCGACCGCGCCAACCCTGCTGTCACCATCTGGCTGCAGAAGCGATGGGCTCACCTGGCCAATATTGTAGCTTCAGATTTCTTCAGAGGCAATGACATAGTCAATGTTGCTATCAGGTAAGTACACACTGTGTCAGAACTCAGTAATCCTTTAAGAAAAAAATACTGTATAATGTAAACAAAACCTGACAACAGTAATGGTATCAGTAACACTGATGTGCCATTCTTCACCACAGGACAAACCTAGCTCTGTCTGTGTGCCCTTCGTCTAGTTCTCACGTATCATCTCCACTGCGAAGGTCTACAGGCTTCAGGCTCTCGGTATTACCAAGAAAATTATCAAATCCAATCTGGGAGACCATCAAAAATTTCGAAGAGGACCTGCCACACACCTCCTCCGCGCCGCGCCTGTCCACCCAACCCTCACTGCTCATGAGCTTCACCTCTACCACGCCTCCGTTCCAAAGGATCACCACCTCTTCACCGCCAGACGTCACCACACCTCCGTACCAGAGAGTCACCACACCTCCATACCAAAGAGTAACCCAAGCTCCTCACCACAGATCGCATGGCACCTTCTCTTCGGGGACACGTGCGAGGACCACCACCCCTCCCGCAACAACCTCACCTCCTCCTTCGACCGCCTCACCTTCCTCCTCGCCTTCCCCGTCAGTTTCCTCGCCAGCTCCTCCTTTACTCACCAAGAGGATCCGCGAAGACAACAGCATTCCTGAGGGCCTCGAACCCCAGAAACCCGTGCCCGAGTCCATCGACTTGTCTTTAATTTCTCCCATACATTCGATATTAGACTTATTTGGCTTCGACACCACAGATATAAGTTCTGAGAGACAACAGCAGGACGCAGGACTCGGAGGAACATCGTCTAACCAGGAAACGATGACAGCTGATGACGAAACAGAAAAAGATTCTATCACGACGACTGGCGATGCGAGCGGTCAAAGGGCAGAGGATAACTCAACCGACGATCAGCCAATAGTTGTAAGTCTCCTAAACGATCAGCCTATCATGACCTCTTCCTCGACCCTAATATCTCGTGTTAAACCAACTACCTCGCAGCCGCTCCCGGACAGACCCTTGTTACCGTCATCAGGAGGTGCAGGTCAAGCGAATGTCTCGATAAAACAGGGGAGCCGGCAGGGTGCCGCGTAACTCAAGCAATATAGATATTTTTCGTTTCTTTTTCTCTGTAAACTAATTCTTAGGCACATGTTGTTTTATAGTGTTGTTGCTGATTTTATATTCTATTTAGACTGGAAATAATTTTATATGATAAAGTGAATTTCCCCAGTACCTGACGACTTCACACACACACACACACACACACACACACACACACACACACACACACACACACACACACACACACACACACACACACACACACACACACACACACACACACACACACGCACGCACACACATGTAACCAGTTCTTTAGAATCTCAAATACACACACAAGCGGTGAATATTAATTCATATTTTTTTCATCACATTTTTTCGCTGCAATTATCATTAATTTCACCAGTACATGTGCATCGTCCACCATCCACAAATAGTGATATTTCC